TGTTATATCCTTATATGATATTCTGCAAAACTCGCTCATTTCTGTTAGTAAAAATTGTGATGTATTAATGATTTTATCTCTGATGATATATGTTCAGGCTCTTATACAACAATAGATGTTCCAATTTAATCTTGAAAAGAAAATTTTATCGCCATGTTAAATATTGCAGGAATTTTACAGCACCTATAAAAAATTATTCCACATTGGATAGCTACTGAGTTTATCCAATAGTTCAATACAATTTTATTTTGATAAAATGGTAGTTGTTAGTAATCTTCGAAATAATTTAAATTATGCATTTCATCAAGAAATTCCAGGGTTAAAGACACCGCATAAGAATTTATACCAAACCAGCACAGTGTAATACTAGTAGTATTTATAATCAACGTTTAAAAAAATATATTGTTGAATGACTTTACTAATTTTGTATCACTCATACCATGATAATTTTTCTGGATGCCATAGATTTTTCTCTTAAATTACTCACATATTAACATGTTTTGTAGCATGGACATTTATGGAGACAGACCTTACAATACAACCAACTCATATTTAGAGACAATTTCTTAAATCATAATCCAAGGATTAACTAACCCAGTACAATTTAGATTTAAGGGTGTTCCACACCTATCAGGTGTGTCTAATATTAATGTTATTTCAGTTAAATCTGTCTTACAGGTCAATTATAGACATTTCAACGGTACTTTTGAATTCATTGTTTAATAGTTTATATTTTTCCTTTAGGGCAGACTGTCTGATGCAGCTAAATATTATATCATTTAGTGGTTTCTTGTTATACCAGAATGATTTTGGCAGCATTTCTGAAAAAATTGTACATCTACTGTTAACTGCAATATCTTTTTGAGGCAGCATTTCTGAGAGTATAATACTCCATTTCTAACTACAGTGATTATCGGAGGCAGCATTTCTGGCAGTATATACCTCAGTGTCAACACATTACAATGACTGTCCAAGGCAACATGCACATTGTGCAATCATCTTACCTTATGATTATGAATGAAACTGTATATGTTCTGTGTATGTTATTAAATATATATATATATAGATATACATCAGTATGACTGTCTGAGGCGGCATAAATGATGATTATATTGTATTTTGTAGAATTTTGAACAATTTACACCACTTTGACTGTCTAAGGTGACAAAGTTAGTGACCTTTTATTATATTCTGTTTTCTAGTGTAGAACAAGCTACATCACTATGAATGTCTGAGGCAGCATAGTAGACGGCATTTATTATATTCTGTTTATCTGTAAAACAATTTACAACATGGTTTTCTAAGGTGGCATACTTGATGAATTTTTATTATATTCTCTCATGTAGTGTAATACAATTCACAACAGAACTGGTAGACTTTTAATATATTCTGTTTATAATGTAAAGCAATTTAACTAAGCCAGCATAGTCGATGACTTTTTAGTATATTCTGTTTACAGTGAAAAAACAATTATCATCAGTATGACTGTCTGAGGCAGCATAGTCGATGATTTTTTATGTTCTGTTTACAGTGAAAACAATTTACTTCAATATGACTGTAGGCAGCATAGTCGATAACTTTTTAGATTCTGTTTACATTGAAAATACAGTTAACATTAATTCGACTCTCCGAGGCAGCATACATGTAGTTGATGGATTTTTATTAGATTCTGTTTACAGTGAAAAGAAAAACAATCTACATTAGTATGACGACTGAGGCAGCATATTGATGACTTTTTATATTCTGTTTACAGTTTAAAATGATTTACATTTATTTAGTATGACTGTCTGAGGCAGCATTGTCGATGATTTTATTTTTATGTTCTAGCTGTTTACAGAATGACTGTCTGAGGCAGCATAGTTGATGGATATTTATTATATTCTGTTAACAGTGTTAATATGTTTACAGTGAAAAACAATCTACATTAGTATGACTGACTGAGGCAGCATATTGATTACTTTTTATATTCTGTTTACAGTGTAAAATGATTTACATTTGTATGACTGTCTGACGCAGCATAGTCGATGATTTTTTATGTTCTGTTTACAGTATAAAACAATTAAGATCAGTATGACTGTCTGAGGCAGCATAGTTGATGACCTTGTACATGTATTATATTCTGTTTAAAGTGACAAATTTCCATCATTACAATATTATTGGTCTGGGGTGGTATTGTTGATGTTTTTCAATTATATTGCGTTTATAGAGTAAAACAATTACAGTTGTATGACTGTCTAAGGCAGCATTTTACAAAAGTATGACTGTCACCATAGTTGATGACCTTATATTATATTCTGTTTTACAGCATAGTTTCATCAATATTTGCTGACACTTTGCTATACTCTGTTTACAGTGTAGTACAAATTGCATGAGGATGACTATCTAAGGTGGCATAGTTGATAACCCATGGTTATATTCTGTTTGTTTAAAGTGTAAAATAATTTACATCTGTATGACTGTCTGAGGCAGCAAAGTTGATGACCTTGTATTATGTTATGTTTTTAAGACTAGTTTAAAATTTAAGTCTGTACTTAACCCCCCTGTAATTTTATCAACATTGTTACAGTGAAATATGAAGATAAGGAACAGTAATAATCTCAAAAGGCCATTGAAGCAATACAACATTTTGATTCATTGATAGATTGTATTTGTTGGCAAGGACATTACGCCAGCTATGGAGTTTGCGAGCTGTTGACCTCGGTCAAGACTGTTGATGGTCTTTTTTCACCAACTTGTTTTCAATGGCCTGCCTCGTTTTGGAAATAGTTCGTACGTGAAGCTTGTGCCCGTGTATCGATCGAGTCGGCTGAGGACATGGGCTTCATATGCGGGCGATAATGGTTTATTGCGAAATAGAGCTAAGGGAGGTTGACGAAGGAAGAGTTGAGGTCATCACTTTGTTGTGGAGTTTTGTTGTTGACTTACCATTGACGTCTTTTTCTAGTGGGGGATCCAAATGTGAAGCAGATGTTTTTGACTCTTGAGTTGTCTTTCGTTTCGAGTTCATGGGGTATACAGGATCAACATAGGAACATGAATACAAAAATATGTCTGCTTATAACGGGGCACGATTAGTACCCATGGAAATTAAGAAAGATTGTTGGTAGAATTGATCCCCAAGAACTACATTAGATATTTTGTCAATTTACAGGAAATGTATAGTTAATTCGTGCACCTGATGGTTTGTACATATGTTACTCTGTTAGTCGCTACTCGTGAGGTTTTGATGTTTCCTATTCGTCCCCTCTGGATGGGGCACTTTTCCATAACTTGTAAGTTATCGACAAGTTTGTGGCGTGTTTGTTTTCCCATCTTTTTTGCCAATTCTTCTAGTCATATTTGTATTTTTTCGTTATGTACATGTATATTAATATCCTTATAAGGGATATATTCAAATATGGGCATGTGTAATTTTTGTACATATTTGGTTAATTTGTTTGACATTCTAATAAATGCCCATTTACGACAAATAATTTGTTGTTATATTTGCAAAAAACAGAGCAGAGTAGACTCATGGATGGAGAAAATAAATTATATTGAGGGAAGTTGAAGACGATGGTATAATTGTATTTATGTGCAACATAAAGTAATTTATACCATCTCTGTTATTCTACTGTTATCAGAGAATTGTTCCGGAATTTTCATTGCCGCAATTAATTCTTGCCTCTATAGATTTGTAACTTTATCTTGTTTATCTCCAGACCATGCATTCTGATGGAAACAAATTTTTGACCCACCCCCTCCCCTGCAACCACACAATATATACTCAATTGTATTTGATTCAATAAATAAATATATATGTATTTACATTGAAGTAATGGTATGTTACTTGTTCTCAGATTTGCTATATTAACGACGTTATAATACATCGTACAGTGTACTTATTTTGTCGTGTGTTTCACATGCTTTTAAGATTGACGTGTTTGGCATGTATAACTTTTGTCCATATTTGTTGGGCATTTTAATAAATGCCCATGTGTTTGGGCGTGTTTGTTCTCCCATCTTTTTTGCCAATTCTTCTAGTTACATTTTTATTTTTTCGTTATGTATATTAATATCCTTATAAGGGATATATTCAAATATGGGCATGTGTAATTTGTGTAATAAATGCCCATTTATGACAAATAATTTGTTGTTATATTTGCAAAAATAGAGCAGAGTAGACTCATGGATGGAGAAAATAAATTATATTGAGGGAAGTTGAAGACGATGGTATAAATACAGTATATCAACAAATTCATATGACTACATCATAATTTTGATTCCATCAATTATTTAAATGTGTAAATTGTCATATGCTGGACATGGCTTTACACTCATTAACAAATCGAAATCACCGAGGAATATAAATAACAGTTTGTCAGCATAACTCCTGCACTGAATTTCCTTAAACTTTGTAGGTATTTAAGACATAATTTATAGATTTGTATATTATCAAGAAATTTTGATTCCATTATTTATCTAGAAACTTCAGCCCAATTAAATTTGTAACGTACAAAGATTTGAATGTCCTTATATGCAAGAAGTTTTGATGTGATGATTTTTTGCAAGTAATGCCCCTTTTTGAATTATACTGTGTATTTAAAATGCACTGTGCCATTCATTACGTGTTACATTGTCGAGTTTTGGGGGAGCTTGGGGTATGTGAGCTTGCTCACTTTTTCTTTCATTAGTTTAATTTTGCAAATATTTGCGGCATTACTTAATTTAAGTTCGATTTTAAGCTGAATTATACTCATGGAACCATATTTTGAGGTATTCATGATAATTTTTCGCAGGACCAACTGTTTTGATCTTAAATACACGCGTAGAAAAATGCAACATCTAACGTTATAAATCTCGCATCCAATGTAAACAAGAGCGGGAGGCAGGGAAACGCAACTCACTACTATCTCCCATTGATCACTTACAGTGTTGTATTATACTCAGGTGATCGTTAAGGCCCTTGGGCCTCTTGTTTAAATTAAGATTTAATGTTGTCTAGTATTTGATTATTATGTATAGGATGGACCATGTTCCCCGTCTATCAGAGGTCCTGTATGCTGGTCTGTGTTGTAAGATAGGGACACCGACAGAAGTGGCCATCAGAAGGGACGTGAGGGACATGGAGGAGATGATACAGAAACCTATTAGTATGATTAGAGGATTTGGAACGATTATGAGTGGTAGTTATAGAGAAGGATTAAGGTTGAAATCATCTGACAGGGATATGATGATATGGCCTTGTAATTATAAACTAATAACTGACATATCTCAGTTCCACTCCTACAATACATCAAAACACACTACTGTTCTAATGGAAGATTTTGACACACCACCAGGGTTTGTCAGACTTCGCCTTCTGACATCCCCACGAGACAGTATCACGAGGTCAAGTCGTATTCCTTTCAATAACGCGTTTTATATATCCAGTTCTTTGTGGAGAGAAAACCAATTTCAGTTTTATATGGAAAACAAACATTTTCCACAGAAAAAAATGACCATCCATGGTCCCTGTGCCAGCGGTTTCGAAGGATCTGTTGAATTTGATCATGCTCTCTGTTTGCCCACAATATATTGGCCTAAACTATTTATAGGTTGGATGGACAGATGTCAGAGACATACCTGGCCGCCTGCACCTGTTTTAGAAAATATTCTAAGAAAAGGATGTCACTGTGTACCTATTGGAAGTAAAACTGTATCAACTTCCACTGAATTAGAATGGAGATTATCGTTTTCTCAAGCAGAACAACAACTAGTATGTTCTATGAATCATACACAATTTATGTGTTATGGTCTTCTAAAAATATTTCTGAAGGAAGTTATCAATTACAGGAAGGACCCATTACTCTGTTCATATTTCTTGAAGACCACAGTGTTCTGGATAATTCAGTTGGGACATATTATATGGTGTCCTAACAATTTACTAGATTGCTCCTGGAAGTGCTTTAAATATATCATTCATTGTGTTTATCGTGGAGTTTTCCCCAATTTTTTTATTTCACAGAACAATATGTTCAAAAACAAAGTAGTCGGAGGTGCACGTGAATCTCTTTTACAACAACTTTATCAGTATTATAGAATGGGTGTGGGATGCCTACTGTATAGTCCAACTCTCAGATTAATCCTAGAACCGGCCCTCAGTAGCCCACTCTTTGTATTATCATCTACTAAGGGTGAATCTATTTTTATTGCAGATGAAGATATGTGTGCTATGTTTGAAATATTTACGACACCGTTTCTTGCTGAAAATATATCGGTTTCCATTCTCTTCTTGAAATCCATTGATGCACTATCAGGCGAAGGACTATTAATCTCACCATACCAATCATTAACAATACAGTTTTGTACAGCTAAGACACTCATCCATTTAGCCTTCGCAATAGCAAATAGTGTTTCATGTTGTTCACACAAGAAAAATTACATCATAGATAGAAAGATATGCAATATGTTGCAACTGGCAGCAAGGTTAGGTCCTATGTCTAATTTACTGTATCTTGCATCGTATTATTATAGGACAGGAAGATATGATAAAACATTACGTATCACTTATTTCACTAAACAAAAACTGTCGTCGGACTTCATTATGTATAACGGTACTATCGACAGGCAGAAGTACAGTGAAGCTGTAGGTAATCTTCCTTTGTTTAAAAGGATGAAGAAAGCCTGGGTGACAGACATGACTGAAGTCGATTTATTTCAAAATATCCCATTTATTGAAGAACTAAGTTTAGAACAAAAAGTAAGTCAAGAAAATGCAAAGCCAATCTTAGTGTTATCACCGATTTTTATGATAGAGATATTATCAGTATTATCTCACTATAGACTAGGTAATACATCTCAGTGTTTACAGTCACTGACAGACCTACAGACACTGCTGCTCTATGATGATGGGAAATATGTTTCTTTAAATTTGAGAGACATATCCTGGCAGATACTTGGGATCTGCCAGCACACTGTGGGAGACTTACACGGTGCTTTACAGTCTTTTAAAGAGTCGCTCAGACAGAAACCATTCCACAAAATACGAGAAGCTACATATATTAGAATAAGATGTGTCAAACAACAATTATACAGAAATATGCAAGCATAGATATGTTTGTTTTAAATTTTTTCTCGTAATATTCTGAAGATCTCAAGCCTTGTAGACCTGCTAGTCAAATGTCGACAGTAGGAAGACACTTTACTTTTTTGACGAGGTTGTAAGAGAAACAATTATACAGAAATATGCAAGCATAGACATGTTTGTTTTAGAATTTTTTCTCGTAATATTCTGAAGATCTCAAGCCTTATGGACTTGCTACATGTAGTAAGAAGTCGACTGCAGGAAGAAACTTCACTTATTTGACGATGTTGTAAGAGAAACAGGATGAAACTATACGATGAAATGAAAAATGCAACTGCCTTACATTTTTTATTCTAGCGATTGCATATCTTCGTAACATATAAACAGTTGCCCATTGTAGAGGAAAGTATGAAGATACTGTTGAACGATGTCATAAAACACATTGTAAAAAAATTATTGATGAAATGTTTATTGAGATTAATTTTTTTCCGTGCTGATCAATTTTATTCGATGTATATTTATTTTGTCACATGGTATATACGGAGAGTATACATATTATAACTGGAAACATTTTCTCTTCAAAAAATTTGAGTAATCAATTTAATAAACAAAGCAATCTGATTAAAATCAGATCCTCGATGCTCCTTTTTTAACGATATGTCGCTTACGAGGATCTGAAGAAGCCCAATAGAGGGTCATCTCCTGGTGACCTTTATATTATCCAATCAAACGACCGCTTGCGAGACTCTGTAAAATCTTCGGAATTCAAAATTTTATTAATAACTCCCGATGCAATACGAATGAGGATTTAAAACGAAAGTAGAAAATGGCGGCGCCTGCTACGCCGACGAAAACGTGTGCTCTCAGTGATATTTGTGTTCTCTGCGGGTTTTCTTTCATTCAGTATGAAAAGAAAGACAATGGTGAGGTCATACTACATAAACATTTTGACCGGAAACTCAGGTTTACCACAGAGAGGGTAGAAAATGTTTATAAAATAACTGGTATCAACTTTTCAAGCAACAATGCCGTGTGCCTGAAATGTTATAGAAGTGTGGACAGTGTGATAAAATCTGAACAGAAAAACGAGAACATAAAAGCAAACATATGTAGTATGGCTAGGAAAACTAGTAGACTAATTGTTCTCGAACAATTAGAGGTCTTTCCACCTTCTTTAAATTTCATATATTCTTCATATTTAACTCTCTACTGTTTATTTTTATACAAGAGAAACCAGAAATTGCTTGAAAAATGGAAAAATTGCAAATTTTAAAAATTTTGAAATGACCTTGACCTTTGACCATGACGAAATATTGAAGGTCAAGGGTCAAGGGTCATGTTGCACTTGACCCCATGCTTCTACAACTTTTAGTTTTAAAGTTATAAGGTTTAATAGTAAGCGCAAAGACGTTAAAGGGCAATAACTCATATAAGGGGTCATTGGATCCTTTCACACTGAATAGATTGCAGTTGTGTCTAAAGACCCTGAAGACTTTAGTATATATTTTGTGTCTCTGCGGTTTACGGTTTCGAAGAAGTAGCGATAACAAGGTTTTTCGCACAAGGGGCAATAACTTTCAAAGGGGTTAAGCTTAGGGGACAAGAATGAAATCTTTGAAATATATTTAAGAGAACATATTAATGATGCAAAGACAGACAGTATATGTCCAAAGACAAAAGATCTGAAAAAGAGCTTAATTTCTCGTTTTTGAAATGACATTGACCTTTGACCTTTGCTTATATTTTAAGGTCAAAGGTCAATAAATCATATACAGTTGGTCCCATGTCTCTACGATTTATCGTTTTGAAAATTTTTAATTATTTGTAAACATAAAAAATTTTCAGGAGCAATAACTCATAAAAGGGGTCGACGAATACTTTCGCAAAGAAAAGATTGAAGAGTCCTCTCAATTAGTCCAAGACATTGGTAAAGGTTTCGTACCTCTACGGTTTACGGTTTCGAAGGAGTAGCGATAACAAGGTTTTTCGTACAAGGGGCAAGAACTCCGAAAGGGGTCATAGGTCATACTCGTTGAGTAGTTTTTCGAAATAACTTTTGATGTCGAGTATCATGAACTATAAAGTTTTTCGATAATTCTTTCGGTTCAAAAGGCCGTAGCGGAAAAATAATAATAACTAGTAGACTAATTGTTCTCGAACAATTAGAGGTCTTTCCACCTTCTTTAAATTTCATATATTTTTCATATTTAACTCTCTATTGTTTATTTTTATACAAAAGAAACAAGAAATGGCTTGAGAGATGGAAAAAATGAAATTAAAAAAAAAAATTAAATGACCTTGACCTTTGACCTTGAACAATTATTTAAGTTCATAAGTCAAGGGTCACATTGCACTTGACTCCATGCTTCTACGACTTTTAGTTTCAAAGTTATAAGGTTGAATAGTAAGAGCAAAGATGTTAAAGGGCAATAACTCATATAAGGGGTCATCGGATCCTTTCGCACTGAATAGATTGAAGTTGTGTCTAAAGGCCCTGAAGACATTAGTGAAGGTTTCGTGTCTCTGCGGTTTACGGTTTCGGAGTAGTAGCGATAACAAGGTTTTCAATGAAAGGGGCAATAACTTTTAAAAGGGTAAATCTTAGGGGACAAGTATGAAATCTTTGAAATAGTTTGAAGAGTACATATTAAAGATGCAAAGAGATTTAGTATATAATGAAAGACAAAAGAGATATAAAAAGAGCTTAATTTCTCAAATTTTGAATGACCTTGACCTTTGACCTTTACAAAAATTTCAAGATCTGAGGTCAAAGAATCTAATGCAGTTGGTTCCATGTCTCTACGACTTATCGTTTTGAAAAATTTTCATTATTTGTAAACTTCAAAAACTTTCAGGGGCAATAACTCATTGAAGGGGTCGACAAATCATTTCGCAATGAATAGATTGAAAAGTCCTCTCAAGTAGTCAAAGACATTGGTGAAGGTTCTGTATCTCTACGATTTACGGTTTTGAAGGAGTAGCGATAACAAGCTATTCTTGCGAAAGGGGCAATAACTTTGTAAGAGGTCATAGGTCAAACACGTTGGGTCGTTTTTCGGAATAACTTTTAATATCCAGTATCATGAACAATAAAGTTTTTCGATAAGTCTTGTGGTTTCAAAAGTCCGGGAAGAAAAAGAATAATAATAATAATAACTAGTAGACTAATTGTTCTCGAACAATTAGAGGTCTTTCCACCTTCTTTAAATTTCATATATTTTTCATATTTTACTCTCTGAAATTAATTTTTATAGAAAAAGAATCCATAAATGGCTTGAAAGATGGAAAAGATGAAAATTTTAAAATTTTGAAATGACCTTGACCTTTGACCTTGAACAAATATTCAAGGTCAAAGGTCAAGGGTCACATTGCACTTGACCCCATGCTTCTATGTCTTTTACTTTTAAAGTTATGAGGTTTAATAGTAAGCGCAAAGACGTTAAAGGGCGATAACTCATATAAGGGGTCATCGGATACTTTTGCACTGAATAGATTGAAGTTGTGTTTAAAGACCCTGAAGACATTGGTGAAGGTTTTGTGTCTCTACGGTTTACGGTTTCGGAGGAGTAGCGATAACAAGGTTTTCAGTAAAAGGGGCAATAACTCTTAAAGGGGTAAATCTTAGGGGACAAGCATGAAATATTTGAAATAGTTTTAAGAGGACATATTAATGGTACAAAGATACTTAGTATACATTGAAAGACAAAAGAGATATAAAAAGAGCTTAATTTCTCATTTTTTGAATGACCTTGACCTTTGACCTTGACATAAATTTCAAGGTCTGAGGACAAAGAATCTTATCCAGTTGGTTTCATGTCTCTACGACTTATCGTTTTGAAAAAAAATTATTATTTGTAAACTTCAAAAACTTTCAGGGGTAATAACTCATAAAAGGGCTCCACGAGTACTTTCGCAATGAAAAGATTGAAGAGTCTCCTCAATTAGTCGAAGACATTGGTGAAGGTTTCGTACCTCTACGGTTTACGGTTTCGAAGGAGTAGCGATAACAAGCTTTTATTGCAAAAGGGGTAATAACTCTTAGAGGGGTCAAAGTTCATATACGCAGGGTCAACTGTAAAAATCTTTTAAAGAGTACATTCTTATAGACTATAAATCTTTTCGATATATCTTGAAACATAGAATCACATCAGGGGGTGGAAAAATAATAATAATAATAATAATAATAATAATAATAATAAACAGAAGAATATCAATAGGTCTTTCCACAGAAAGGTGGAAAGACCTAATAATAATAATAAACATAAGCATTTCAAGAGGTCTTTCCACAGAAAGGTGGAAAGACCTAATAACTAGTAGACTAATTGTTCTCGAACAATTAGAGGTCTTTCCACCTTCTTTAAATTTCATATATTCTTCACATTTAACTCTCTACTGCTTATTTTTATACAAAAGAAACCAGAAATGGCTTGAGAGATGGAAAAAATGAAAATTTTAGAATTTTTTGAAATGACCTTGACCTTTGACCTTGAACAAATATTCAAGGTCAAAGGTCAAGGGTCACATTGCAATTAACCCCATGCTTCTACGACTTTAAGTTTTAAAGTTATAAGGTTTACTAGTAAGCGCAAAGACATTAAAGGGCGATAACTCATATAAGGGGTCACCGGATACTTTCGCACTGAATAGATTAAAGTTGTGCCTAAAGACCCTGAATACATTAATGAAGGTTTCGTGTCTCTGCGGTTTACGATTTCGGAGGAGTGGCGATAACAAGGTTTTTTGCACAAGGGGAAATAACTTTTAAAAGGTTTAAGCTTAGGGGACAAGATTGAAATCTTTGAAATAGTTTTAAAAGTACATATAAAAGATGCAAAGATATACTGTATATGTTGAAAGACAAAAAAGCTCTTAAAAGAGCTTTATTTCTCATATTTGGAGTGACCTTGACCTTTGACCTTGACATAATCTTCAAGGTCTAGGGTTAAAGAATCTAATGTAGTTGGTTTCATGTCTCTATGACTAATCGTTTTGAAAATTTTTCATTATTTGTAAACTGCAAAAACTTT